TGGATGGTAGTTTTGGCAGAAGCATTGCATGCAGGGAAGGCAGATCCATATCCAGTGTCTATTCCAGTAAGGACAAAAAGCTTCCGTTTCCATGATGGAAGTGGTCCAATATAATCAACTTGCCACCAAGTTGCTGGCTGATCACCTCAAGGGATGGTGCCATATTGGGGACTCAGGGTTGGTCTCTGCTTTTGGCAGATTAGGTACTCAGCAGTGGCTGTAGCCAAGTCAGCCTTGGTGAGTGGAAGTCCATGCTGCTGGGCCCATGCATAACCTCCATCCCTGCCACCATGGCCACTTTGTACATGAGCCCATTGAGCAATGACAGGAGTAGCTGGGGAGAGAGGATGACTAGTGTCCACAGAACGCATCATCCTATCTATTTGGTTGTTAAAAGCATCCTCTTCTGAGGTCACCCTTTGGTGAGCATTCACATGAGACACAAATATTTTCACTTCTATGGCCCATTCACAGAGGTCTATCCACATACGTCTACCCCATAAATCCTTGCGTGTGGCAGCTCACTGCCCTCTCAGTTTCATTTCTCTGACTTCCGCCGGTTACCTTCTGCCTGCTTGCCTTGCCAAGGTTTTTGGCTTGTTCCAGACTCAGCAGCTGCCTTTTGTTGTCTCATCTCCGGTTCGTAGGACTTGAGCTAGCAGCTTACCTGTTGATCTTGGAATTAGTCGAACTTCTTAGCCTGCAAGCATGAGTCCGATTTCCCGACCTACCGACCTTGGGTTCACCAGCCCCTGCAGCTACGTGAATCAGGAGAAACCTGATTATCTTGTCTGCTGATCTTTAATTCACTGACCTTCACAGGTGCATCTTAGTTTTTAATGTTACATCTTTGTTTTTTAACACTCTAAAGATATCTTTTGCAGCAGATTTGCCCAAAGAAATGCAATTCAAGTAAGAAATTAACACAATGGTGTAACTTCGGTAAATAAAATACTATATTTAGGCACACTACCTCAAACACAAACCAATCCACTTACATGAAATCGCTTTTAAGCTTACTGTAGTATTTCCGTTTCAGCATCTCCACAACTTGATCAAAAGCTTCTTTCACTGCTTTTAAACATTCGCTGTTATGAGTGCCCAGAGACCTTTGAACTCCTTCAAAGTACTCTAAGAATATGGAAAAAAATTGATGCATTTAATATGATTTAATTGTAACCATTTATAAAAGAGAATTCTTTCAAGTTTGCAATCACCTGTCTTATGACAAAGTTAAGAAACTTCAAAATCAAAGGACTTTGTTAGAATGCCAAGAAAAATCACTGGTTACCAGAGACTTATAACTATGCTGTGCAAATTCTGTTCCAATAATGAACTAGGATATAGTTTTACCATTTACAAGATGTAGGGAGAGAGATGCCTCAATTTTATACCTTTCAGATTTATTGGATCAGATAAGATTCTATCAAGGCTACAAAAACCAAAACTGTTTACATTTGAAAAGATCAAATATTAAAGGAAATTTTACAAGGAATGCATCACTTTTTGGGGGGAGGAAGGGTTGTTTTCTTTTTGCAAGAAAAAAACTTGATTAAGTAGAAATTTTATATTTTACTCATTTTAATGGGAACATGTATGCAGAAGCCCTAACTGCCAGCAAAGAGTTTTTAATCCACCTGGAAAAATCCTAAAACCATTAATTATAAATGTTTTATCACAAAGTCAGGTAACAGGAAAGAAAATTGAAAGGCAACTTCAAAGTAGGAAAGTTTTGTTCTTCAAAAAAAGAGCTTTTCCTTTACTTGTTTGGAAATAGCTAAATCATGGTTTCTTTCACTATCAAATCAACAGCTAATACTTATAACATCATTTCCACCCATTAAGAAGCTATGGCCAGTTATATAGCTGCAAATATGAATACTAGCTACCAGCTGTTGGTAGCACAGGAATCTCTTATGGAACACTATCATATGGGAAGGGAGAAAGACTCAAGCTGCAGGATGCCATGTTATTGGGCCACGCTTGATTAACCAATCACTAACAGATACTTTTGTCT